ACCAGCTGCTGTGGCCAAGATTTTAACATGCAAACTGTAAAAGAGCGTATGAGGGTTCAGTGTCAGGCTCCTGTTTTTCTTCAAATAAACCAGCAGACTTCCTCGGTTTAGAAATCGGGGCAACATTTATTGGATTATTTAACAAGTAACCAGTATCAACAAAGGTGTTCCAACCATTTCCTCCCTCTAACAACGGGTTAGATGTGGGCTTCCATTCTTCAACGTTAAAGGGGTTGCACCCCAGGGATCTGGCCAGTCCAGTGAAATGTCAGTGTTCAATAATTGTCCGGTCTCCCCTCCAGTAAGGGGACCGTGTCCTTGCCTCGGTCATCTGTCCAAACTTGTTCTTGTGAGGGGGAATACTCCAGCCAAAGTCTGCTGATGGTCCCCTCTGCTGTAACTCCAACATCCTCCATTCCAGCCCCTCTCTCCCCACCTTTTCTTTCTCCTCTCTTAGTTTCCTTCTCCACTCCTTCGTCTCTCGCTCTCCCTAATAAGGTTTAGGGGTACTCTCCCGTCTCCTTCTAGCATCCGCCTCCTCCTTTGGGATTCTCAATTTCTCCACCTTCCCAGTCCATGGGTCCTCCAACCAAACCCACTCCCAACATGGAGGCAGATCCCAATCTCTCCCTTTTATATCCCCAAGCCCCGCCTCCACTTCTATCCAGGCCTTCTGCTCCATTCCCACCAAAACAGTCCCGGTTTCTTAAACCATCATCTCCTTCGATTTTTCTTCAACAGTCCCTGGGTTTGTTCCAGGTGGTTTTATCTTCCAGGGAGGGGGGATATGTGGTGTTTGAACTTCCTTGTCAGCAGAGGGCAGGAAGAACAGCACTCCTGTGAGAGGAATCTTGCTCTTACTTTCAGTCTTACAGAGTGCTTCTTGTAAATCAAACTATAATGTAAAATTGGTAGGCTATCCATCTGAAAGTTGGCACTAGATCTAAGTGGATTAAGTGGAAATGAATCAACATGAAGAAACCTGCCCAGAGAAGATACCATTATTCTGTCTTGCTTTCAGTCTTGGAGTTGTCGACATTTGCTGTATATTATTACACTTAAGTTGCAGTTATATTCTTATCTGCAGTGCCATTGAACACAGAATGGCTTACTTCTGTGGAAATGTACAGGATTCCAGTTTAAGAGTGCAAACCTATATCCCACAAGCAACTCCCGCTGAGTACCGTGTTGCTAAACCACAGGATTACAACCTGAGGTTTTAGAGGATTAAAATCCTCTATGCATTAATTGAAAACAGCACATGTAAAAGTTCATGCATTAGTGGCCATAAGCAAGCAGCCATGAAAATGGCTTTTATGTGTGCTTAGTCATGTCATATTACATTTACACTCTTTCATCCCACGAACCTGTATAGCCTCTTTTAGTTTGTCAAGTGGAAGAATGGGTGCCCCTTGAATGCCAACAATTTTATGTCTAGGCAATTTTATGTCAGAAGGAAGACTGTAGTCCTTCATGACAAGTCGGGAGAAGAAACATGTAGAAAATAATCATGAATGCAGAAAAAGTGAGACCTTTTTCCTCACATCAGAGAGTGTGAGAGTTTAAACTGCGCAAGTTTAAGATGTAGTGCAAACTTATTAACAAAATACAGTGCTCTTACCACCGTCACCTCATCATGCAATACACAGGGCACAACATACAGCACACATACATTTTGAAAAAGAAATCTGTTTAAGTTGACGTTTATGGAATCTTTCAGATATTCTGGATAACATTGTGAGCTGGTGTCTCTATCTGTTGTTTGCAGAATAATAAACACGAAGGGGGATTACATACTTTGCATGGGGTATTCATAGTCCATATATCCTTGTGGGAGGGCTGTCTGAGCAGCAGGGTTTTTTTTTTTTTGCCCGATATTATGCTTACACAGATAGATTAGATTTTATCCTGCAAAAGTAGCCCCTCCTGCTCTGGGATTAGAATATGGCATGCCTTATTACTGCTGGCAATCAGCTGTAATTTTTTTCTAACCCAACATTTTTTAAAACAAACTAGTGTGATTAATTCATGGAATGTTTAGTGGAAATTGTGATCTCATAAATGCCACAGAAGTGCCACAGGACACAAAGTCTGAAATAATTGACCAGAAGCAAGTCCTTTCTCATTCCCCTTCTCTCCTTCCACACAAGACAGAGAGAGAGAGGAGTAGGAGAATTGCAAAGTCTAAAAGCAGAACACTTTTGTTTAAATTTGTTTGGCTATCTTAAATTGTCCTATTGCAAGTGTAAAATTTTATCTTTGGAGATTAGACATGTTCCTGCACCTCATCCCAAGTACACACGCTACTCTGTTTTCAACTGATTTAGGTTATCATCCCTTTTTCACTATAAAGCAGTGGTTCCCAACTTTGGGTAAACCAGGTGGCAGAAAAAGTGATATATTTCCAGACCCTTTCCCTCACATTAGAGAGTGTGAGAGTTTAAACTGTGCAAGTGTAAGATGTAGTGCAAACGTATTAAATATACAATGCTCTTACCACCGTCACTTCATCATGCCATACATAGGGCACAACATACAGCACACATACATTTTATAAAAGAAATCTGGTTAAGTTAATGTTTATGGAATCTTTGAGATATTCTGGATAACATTGTGAGCTGGTGTCTCAGAAAGCTTCACCACCAGCTGTGCTGGCTGAGGTTTCTGGAAATGGTAGTCCAAGAATATTTGGGTTACCAAGGTTGGGAACCACTGCTATACACGATGAGTGCACATTTGTACTGCAGCCTGTCACTGATTTAGAATGCTCTCAGATGACTGAGTTTTTTGTTACAAGTCCTAATAGCTTTCCATCTTTTCTTCTTCACTGGCTTCCCTGCGGCAATAACAAAACACGGGGAAAGCAGTTGACAATCACAAGAGAGTTACAAATGGAAGATGACAATTATTTCTCCTCCCACTTCCAGCTGTATAATTAAATGTTTGAGGCAGGTCAGTTAATTGCACAACAGAAATGTAGTCTAGAAATGCTGTAACTATATTGTAAGAATCATCTCAATATAGCAGAAAGAACTCATATAGGGGTTGATGTGGTTGCGAGCCCTGTATGCTCACCTGCACATTTTGGAGGCTTTGTTCACCTGAATGTGATCAATAACCAAGGAATCTAGATCCAGGCCCTTTGCTTTCAGCTTTTTGGGCCAACACCTGTGTCCAGCCCCACTGCTTGCTTTCAGCATGTGCAAGAGAACACAGCACTCTTTTTGGCCAACACCTGTGTCCAGCCCCACTGCTTGGCCCCTAGGCACACCTGCCAACTCCACTACTATAGCAACAGAAGGGCCCACATTGCTTCTTAGAAGTCATATTCTTCAAATATTTTGTGGATTTACAGGTATGTGTATACATAATGGCCTGGGCAGTTTCTCATCTGCATTATGTGCAAGAGAACACAGCACTCTTTTTGGCCAACACCTGTGTCCAGCCCCACTGCTTGGCCCCTAGGCACACCTGCCAACTCCACTACTATAGCAACAGAAGGGCCCACATTGCTTCTTAGAAGTCATATTCTTCAAATATTTTGTGGATTTACAGGTATGTGTATACATAATGGCCTGGGCAGTTTCTCATCTGCATTCTTGAAGTAAACTCAAAGGTTGGATTCCCTTGATTTGCATGATTGAGCGAGTAGAGTCCACTATTATATGAGCTCCCTGTCATACAGTATCGAGATGATTCTCATAGAGAAGGAACAGATTTGGGCACACCTGCCAACTCCACCAATGTAGCAACAGAATGGCCCATATCCTTTAAATATTTGGTCGATTTCCCAGTATGTGTGTGTACTTAATGGCCTGGACAGTCTCTCATGTGCATTCTTGAAGTAGACTTAAAGATTGGATCCCCTTGATTTGCATGGTCGAGTAGCGTCCACTGAGCTCCATGTCATATTGAGATGATTCTCATAGAGAAGGAACAGATTGTTCCTAAAGGCCAGAAGAAGTTGGGCAAAAGAGAGAGAGATCTCAAATATCTGACAACTGCAGAGCTGGAAGGGGCCTTTGGATATAGCTATTGTAGTTGAGAGTAGAACCTGAAGAGTTCAGATCCACACTAGTCTTGAAATTATTTTCTTCTCATGCCAGATTGGAGCTCATTATGGTTACTCTTTGTCTGTGTACTCCCAGTATAGCAGCAGCTCTCTATGGCTTAATAAATAAAATAAATAAATTCTGCCCTAACCCTACTTAGAGAAAGCAAGAGCTTGCCATCTTCTGCAGGGAAAACGACCATGCTATGGTTCCACCATTGAAAATCAACCCAGTACAGTGGTGCCTCGCTAGACAGTTACCCCACATGACATTTTTTCGCTAGACATTGGCTTTTTGCGATTGCTATAGCGATTCGCAAAACAGTGATTCCTATGGGGGAATTTCGCTGGACAATGTTTGGTCCCTGCTTCGCAAACCGATTTCCGCTAGACGACGATTTTGATAGCTCCCTCCGCGCTCGCAAAGAGGTGTTTTCGGGACCTAAGCTTCACAAGGCAACAATTTAAACAGCTGATCCGCGGTTCGCAAAGCGGCTTTCCTATGGCTGATCTTTGCTAGACGACAATTCTTCCCCATTGGAACGCATTAAACAGGTTTCAATGCATTCCAATGGGAAAATGCTTTTCGCTAGACAATGGTTTCGCTAAACAGCGATTTCAGTGGAACAGATTATCATCGTCTAGCGAGGCACCACTGTATACTGCCTTCTCCTCCTCCCCTTGTTCCCAGGAGCCTCGTCTTTTTGAGGGATTTTCAACCTCAGACCTCGAAACAATGCCCGGGTACTGTGTAACGTGATGGTGTAGGTGCGTATGTGCCCGGGGCTGCCCTTTATTCTACCTGTGGCAATAAGATACGAGGCCCGCCCTGCTTAGTATTACCTTGTGCACCTCAAGGTTCATACCTGCGAGGACAAGCCCTCGCTCCTCCTCTTTCCTGTCCCTAATTCGGTACTATCTTGGAACAGGATAGTACCCCACCTCCCTCCACCGCCGCCAGCATGTCTTTCGGACCTGTGACACAGCGGCCACCTTGAGGAACGCCCAGGTTCCTAAAGGAACGGCACGCCCTACACACTGATAAGGGGACCGGACGCGCGCAACGGAGTTCCCCGAGGGCTTTCGTTTTCCACCGAAGAGGGAAAAAAAGGGGGTGGGCTGGCCGTGTAAACACTCCGAGGAAGAAGAGGAGGAGGAGAGAAGGGCTGGTTGGGAAGGAAGGGCAGTTGCTGGTGGCTCGCTTCCAGGAAGCTAAGGGAGGCGAAGCGGTGGCTCCAGAAACAAACTAAGCGCCCCCCCTTCCTGGGGAGTAAGTTTCTGCAGCAAGAGGGAAGCAGCGCGAAGCCCCACCCGCCATGGCGAGCTCCAAGCGGCAGAGAAGCGCCAAAAATGCCTCAGGTAGGCGCGAGAGAAGACGGGGAGCGTGACCCCCGCGCTGAAACAAAAAGACATTTTTTGCGCCTTTGAGAAGCCGCACGGGGTTGAGGCGATAGGTTTGGAACAGGGAGGGAGGACCCGGGGGGGGCGTTGCCCTGTCCGTGACCGCCGCCTCGGTCCGGAGAAGGGCTGCCCCCGCCGCCCCTGCTTTTCTCTCGGGGAGAAATTGAGAAAAGGCGCCCTTTAAGCGCGGCTCGCCTGTTCAGGAAAAGGATGGGACGGGTTATGCGGGGTTTTTTGCGGGTTGTGAGGGGAAAGGGAAGCGGTTGGGGGGGGAACGCCTCGTTCTGGGGGCAGGCTTGAAAAGCGTTCCCCTGGGCACGGACATAACGCTTGAGACTCCGTATTGCAGGACCCTGCAGCCCCCCCTCCCTTCCCTGCCTTTATCGTGCTGGAGAGGTGTGCACCTACTGCAACACTCACACCTTCGCAACCGGGCTCCTGCAGACGAGCGGAATTGCAACGACTGTCCTCCGCAGCCAGTCTGCAGGGGGCCGGATTGGGAAAGTGGTTGAAGTGGGGAAAACAAGGGGGCTTCACGGAAGGGTGAGCGCGCTGCTTTTTTGCCCTTTGACTATAGAAGGCAATCCTGGGACAACGCTTCGCCTCGCCTCCGGTCCTTTGTTCGGCTCCGGGCTCCTCCCTCCGGCCAGCCGGCCCTGCCTTTGTCTTTCTTCTCCTTCCTGTTGCCTTACGGGCTCCGCCCCGTCTACTCGCTGCAACCCACGTGGGCGCCGCGTTGCAATGTTGTGCCCTTCCTGATGCTGCTGGGCCTGTACTTTGTAACTCTTTGAAGGCGAAGAGCCGCGCCTTTTGCTAATGAAAAGCCGTGATTATGTGCCAATCTTTGCAAAGCGGGCGCTCCGGGCTATAAATCACGTTTGATGGGGGAGGAGAGGGAACCGATCCGAAGAGCGCTTCTCTGCAAAGACTGCTTATTTGGGCGGAAACAAAAGCCAGCTATTAAGGAGCAATCCCTGCACCCAGCCTGTGATCCCTGTGAATAATACCAGAGCGGTAATCTCTGTTCCAGCAGCAATTTTTTTTTGCCCAAGGCACACAGGATAGGAGCAGCTGCGAGCAATAAAATTCACACAGCCACTGCAGTGCCGACATTAAAAAAAACACCTTTTTAAAAAAAGTGGACATGACGTTTGTGCGTGGGCTGTAATGAATAAGTAACCTCAATGTCACAAACTTATAATCGAGGAAGCCACTGTGTGTATGAAGTGCCTTTTTGATACTCACATTTATGCACACTGATACAACAATATCAGTGTGCGTAAATGGATACAAACGGATCTAGATGAATTTCCCCAGTCAGTTGGGAATGCAATACCTCCTTAGCAACACAGCAGACATGTTCCATCTCTTTGAAACAACAACAGCCAACTCTGTTCATTTCAGTTGGACCCAGAGAAGGAGCAAGTTAGAAAGAGTGGGTTTTACTTAGGAGGTGTTGGACGTTTTGATCCAGCCCTCTTGATTAGATTGTATCGATTAAGTCCAGTGCATGCTTGTTTTCCACTTGTCCATACCTGTGGCAGTTAAAAGATAAACAATTCATATTCCATCTACACAGTCTGGCTACCAGAGATGATCAGGAAATGGCAACTTTCATATCAAGATGCATAGTTCTGAAGCTCGGTCACATTGTATTCAACAAGGCTTTCATAGCCGGGATCTAATGGTTGTTGTGGGTTTTTCGGGCTCTTTGGCTGTGTTCTGAAGGTTGTTCTTCCTAACGTTTCGCTAGTCTCTGTGGCCGGCATCT